GATTTTGTGCTCTATTCATCGTCATCTGACTTAGCCACCCACCCTTTAAACGAATCATCGAAGTCAAAGACATCTTAGGCTTCTCTGCTGTCTTCTCTCTCTCTTTTTGGATAATGGGCAACAACTACCTCAGCTTTACCTCTCTTTACTCCCATCTTTAGCCACCAGCTACCACCTCTACCAAACCTGCTATGCTAAGTCTCAGGTCCTTCTCTGGGCCTGCTTCTTCAATTATTCCTCTGCAACTTTGCCAGATGAAAGCTTGCAACTCTGACAGCTTCCTTCACAGTCTATCCTCACCTTCCTCTCAGCAATTCCACACTCAAAAAAAGTTTGTGTATCTCAGTGGCCATTATTTCCCACCTCAAAACAACCAAAGAAGCCTCCAAAGAAAGAGATGTCCTTGTGCCACTATTCCCTCTATGTCTACTGCCTCACTTCAAGGGCAACAGACCCACAATCCTTGTGTGGAAGGTCTCTCTCCTAATGCTTAACTCTGTCCTTTCATGTCATTCTTCACTACACTCCAGGTCACCAGTCACTCATCCTCCTGGCAGGTCATCTTTGAGCTGATTTTCTTTCTAGTTAATCATATTCAAGAGACACAAAAAAAGCCCCTCAACTCGTCATTAGGTACATTATCTTTATGGTGTAACTTCATTGAAAAGGCTTTTTAAGCTTACTGCCATCATGGCACTTCTCTGGACCCTCCTCTTCAGAGCCTCCCTTCCTTCATCTAAAGGCTCATATTATCTGTCCTCATTTTTGAGCCCCTTCATGACCCAGATTCCCACTGAGATGATGATTTTCACTTGCCAAGTGTGCCAATCTCTATCACCCACTTATTAAAGCTGTCAAAGAAGATGATTTTTTTATTTCTTACAGGCAGATCCTTCATGCAGGAAGGATACACTAACCACCTCTGATGTCCACTATTTATTTACTGAAGACACCCTGAAAGTTTCTTTTCAAAAAACCCAGAGTTCAGCAACAGTCCAACAGCTGAAGCAGTAAGACCACTTATCTGCCACAATGGTCAAAACCACCTTAATTGCTTTCACTTCTTCCCACGCTTCTGCTCCTTCATTAATGTCTCACTGCAGCTAGTAAGTTCTTAGGGGCAGAGCCTGTTTTATGTTCCATGCAGCACACTGGTATCCTGATCTGATACAGAGATCTCCAACGCAACACAGCAGCAGTGATGCCTTACCACACAGCACTAGTGGTAACACAAGGAGTCAGGATCAGAAGGTGGACTTACGTTCATCCTGCCAGTGATACTGCGCCCAAGCTATGATCAGCTTGCAGTGCATGTGTTATCAGAACACAATTAAAAAAAAAGTTATCTGAAAATAATTTTGCCGTTCAAACTGCAGAAGGCATGAGAGGCATGTATCAGACAGCAGCTGCCTGAATAGAAATACTGCAAACTTTGAGAGCCTTGTTTGTGAAGCAAGCTGAAGCTCTTTCAAAGTACAGTCCTTCTGATGACAGAAACCCTTTAGCACGTATTATTTGTGTAAATGTAATTCTAGATTTCAGTGTCTTGTTCTTCCCTTTTCTTTTTTTCTTCTGCTTTAGTTTGTATATTTCTTCTGGTTTACTTTGTTACTGCTATCTTTATTCGCATGAATACATGCAAGTAACATGTTTGCATCTAGTAAGATTATTTCCTCCTTGCCCTGCTCTGCCAAGCACGCAATTCACTAAATTACAGAAACACAGAGCTGGATCACGTATAAAACATTCATCACAGATGTCTACTGGGTTCTAGGGAAGGGCTTTCCCAGCCTGTACTTAAATATCCTTAGAAGGTGTTTGTTTATCGTTACATCGCTCACGAAAGAGAAACAAATTACTTCTCTCTAGGTAACAACTGATCCATGTCCTGCTTATCACAGCTTTTTATACTTTGAAAGTCAGATCTTCCCTCAGTATTTTCTTCCTGGGACAAACAAACCCTTCAAATTTTTCCCCTCATCAATCAGTTAAAAAAAAAAAAATCATCTATTTCCTCTGTTTCTACCATTCTTTAAACATTTACCCTCATCCTCCTGCAAGCTCAGGCCACAGTATTTTGGCTGAAGTCTCCACAGCACCAGGCAGAGGAGAATAGTCATTTCCCATGTCCACTTAGTCTCTCCATCCCAGAACCTCTCTCACTGGAGTGCATAACAAAACCTGGCAAAACATTTTTGCTTATATTTAATCTCTAAATGACCTACTATATTATGGCCTCAGAGAAAATATGAATGTTCAAAGTGCAGCGTGAGACTTGGTGGTAAACCTAAAACCCATGCTCATGTGTAGCTCCTCCCTCTTTGCATATGCATTTTAAAAAGAAAAGTGCTACAGAAACAAACATTTTCCAGCTTCCATTTGAAAACAAGAAGCAATAGCTGACAAAAAAAATAACCAAACCCCAACACAGAAATTACCCAGAGATCAGTTTATGTAAGCAGAATTATTTAGCTTATTTTAAAAAAGCAAATTTCTTTTCCTTTCAGTCTTGTAAGTTTAAAAGACCTAAATCACTGTAAAGCCATCCTTACAAGGAAGCCCCTATACAAAGCCATATAATATAATGTAATGTAATCATTACAGATTACGCTATATTATGATGCAATCAAAAAGTTGGAGGCTCAATGCCTTGTAAATATGACTAAGGAACAAATTTCTCTACCCAGTCCGCATGCAAAGGTTAACACTGTATATCTCTAGAATAAAATGAACAGATTTCATGTGCATACATCAATTTCTAGTTGGTGCATTACATAGTTAAAAATTACTGTGAATATTCACTTTTAAGAAAAGGAATAAAAGAAAATACAAACTTCACAACATAGCAATTCCTCAGTCTTCACTAAGTATGGAAAGAGCAGCTCAGAGCTAGTCTGAAGGGATCTTTATTTTCCTAGTCTCACCACAGCTATGATTAACTTTCGCCCTCTCTTCGCCCAACACCAAAACAACTACTCCATATTCATATTCTAATAGCACTAACCATCACCATCTCATAATTTTCTTCCTTATAAATCCAAGCAGGCAACTGGACTGGGCTTCCAAATCAACAGCAGCAGAAGCAACAAGGCTAATGATGCTTCCAGTTCTTGATCAAGCTGAGGATGTTGGTGACAGTCCTCCTATAGCAAGACGCTTAACCCCATGCTATCTTTTTGTTCAGTTCCATACTAAAATAACAGTGCTTTTTCATTGCCTGCAGTGAAATTCAGCTACTCTAACTTCTCAAAATAAACTGTAGGTTAACACAGATTTTTATGATGTACATTTATTATTTGCTCTTCCATTAGCAGGAAGATTTGTCTTGTAAAAGTGAGTACTTGGCAAAAACCAGACACTCAGCAACTGATTTTCCCATTTTCTTTTTTTAATTCTTCCTCACTTTGCAAGACATTACTAAACTCGTAAAACAGACAGTACTGTCAACTCTCAGCTACGTAAAGTAAAGGTGTTGGGCTAATTCAGACAAGCTAAAGTGCCAAAGATGAAACATGCAATGGGAGTATAATAGGGAGAAGTTACTGATAGAATTGACTAAAGCAAAAGCCAGTTTTGGTCCAAACAGCCAGTAAGGGCATAGTTCTCTCTGCATTCATAGCATGTTTCATCTTCAGTTCAACAGAAGATGCAACATCGACAGAAAATTAAGGATAAGGAGTACACCGTCTGTCAGCAAGGAAGGACTCATGGCTTTGAGGGGCGCCTACCTCTCCACCCCATGCAAGAGACACGTGCTTCTTTGCACTCCTACCCACACAAGAGCTGCCAAGTTAACACATTTCCTCCTTACTTCCCAAATTCCTAGTATGTCCCCAGAACCAATGATTTATGAGTGCTCCTGCCCATGGCTGCACTGGTACACTAGGTGAAGTATTCACCAAAAAGCAACCAACCTCTCCCATATGTAACTCATGCCTGGCAGACTAAATACTGAATCACATGGCAGTTGCTCTTAGAAACGTGCTGTGGGTGGTCTCGGCTATGTTCAGGATGTCATGAAAACATGCTGGAACTATCAAAACAAGTACCCTTTACTGAATTTGCTGTAAAAAAGGACAATTCATAGAAGAAGCTTCTGTGACAAGAGTTTTAGTTCAAAACTGCAATAAGGAGAAAGTAAAGTGCTCTGCATCAGAAAGCAACAACGTTTTCCAGTCATTTTTGAAGATTTGGTAGAAGAAATGCAAGTCTTTTTCTGCCCCCATACCTCCCCTCAATCCACAGTCCTACAAAAAACACGGATTTCATTCTAACCCCTTCAGGCAGGCATGCTTTATTTATAACCCTCCTACCACTCCTACTTAATCTTTTCTTGGGACTGGGCACAGAGCTACAGCAAGTCATGCAATCCACTAATCTCCAGAAGGAATGCAGGAATAATAAGTAAATAATAAATAAGGATGGATTCAGGACAAGCAATAGCCACATGGTATTTGTGGGAATTAAACACACCATCCTGTTTCCTATAAGCTGCTTTCACACAATGTCTACTTTGGTAGGATTAGAGCTGGATAGTGGAGAACTAAAAGTTGGTTTTTGTTTGTTTCAGCTGGTGGGGAGTGGATTTTTTTTTTTTTTTCCAAGTTGCAAAGCAGACGGAGAAATGGTAATATTAGAAACCTGACATCTTACACTCATCCCTGCTGCATAACCATGTTTTTATACCAACTGGGATTCCTTTGATGATTATTATGATCTTCTGTCTTGCATGATTTTTCAAGATTTTTTTCCTATGCTCTCAAGACCTAACATCATGCAAAACCAAAGAGCATCATCCAAGTCCTATGGTACACTTAATTTGTAAGAAATTCTTAATATCTGCCTCTGTTCTGCTTACTTTTTTCCAGAGTAACAACTAAGTTTCACAGCCAATGCTTACAAGTGTTAAAACTTATTCCAGCTAAAGACAGTTATCTGATCTTTGAAACACTCTTTGCATGTAAGCATTGCACTTTCTCAGAAAAACCAAGAGAACTTACCCTCATCTGTAGGGTTGAACCCACAAATATCACAGATACATCGAACCCACTTATTCATCTCCTCCTCGCTGTCTGCTACCAAATAGAAAACTCTGTCTATAGTGTTGATATCAAAAATATAACTGTTTTCAAACTCCTTTTTGTTGAAAGTTAATCCAGCATCCACTTGTTGACACAAATTTAAGTCAATAATACGGATAGGCTTCTTGGCATGGTCATTTTTGTAGTATTCCAATACATCTGGATCCCCTGTTAAACGGCCACTGCGAAGGACAAACCATCTTCTCTTCCATGCCTGAAAATTAGAAAGAGAAAAAAAGGAAGAAAAATTAGAAGGAAGAAATTATATTTTAATACTGTTACCTTTTGCATATGGTTCAACCTGGGTTGAACAGAATAACAGTAAGTAGTTCAATTAGAATTCTAAGAGATTACACACCAGTTGCCTACATTCAACACAATCTATTTATGTATTGTTAGCGCAGTGGGCTAGAGGATTAGTCAATTTGTATTTCAAAGTTTATTTCTGCATTTGAGCTTTGTTTTTAACAAGTTGACATAATTAAATCACTGTTTACAAAATGAGAAATGATTAATCCAGTCAAGAAAAAAGGGGCGAGGGAACCAGAAGAGGAGAAAAAGGCACACAGAAAACACTTCTGAAGGAAGCTGGCACAGGCATGGGGAAAACAAAATAAAATATCTCTTTTAAGTAGTCCATAGTGTCTCATTCCAAGTATCCACTGCTTTCGGCTGATGTATTTTAACTCTGAATTTTTCACCAATTCTTAACGACAGCATCCTGCATTTAAAGAACAGACAATGCTCACACGGTATGCTCACTTCAGTGTTAGGGTAACTCTCCACTTGGAACTTCATGTTTCTACAATAGCACTTCTCACAGAAAAAAAGCTACATTGTTGTTTTGGAAACTGTTAAGCGAAATGGGGATGGAGAGAACAACCAAACATTATCATTTTACTCCATAAAATCAGTCTCTGTGGAAGGTATGTCCATGGAAAAAATACCAGTCTTCCTGATGCTGCAGACAGAATAAAAACTGGCCCAAGAGAAAAGCACAACTGAACTGCTTCATCTTCCAAGTAATCCTCAGCTGCCTTTCCCTCCCGTAGGCCTCCATCACTCAGAATCTCCGTCGAGAATTATTACACCAACTCAAACCAAGAAACCAAGTTTTGCATACAACTGTCGAAGCATTACCAAAAGCATCTTTATTGCCCTATTTATCTGCATTTTGGTTCCTTAGCTCTACTAGCATAAGTTTCCTTATGTGCACAAACACCGGGATAACTGGCACAGTAGAAAAAACTAGACACACTGCCACTGCCCACTAGAAGAGCTGCTCTGCGTTCAGTCAGAAAACTGAAAGCAGAGCCTGAACACAGTGAGGAACCACCACTGTTTTGTATTTGGTTTTACGCTTTTCAGGGAAGTTGGAGACCAAGGCAAACCAAAGCAGTACCCAAGCCACTGCGCGTTACACCGCAGGCTCACACCATGCCCCAAGGCACCCCATTTAAAACTCCTCCAGGATATTCAAACAAGATCACAAGCAAGTCCTTTGGAAGGACAAAAAAACAACAGAAGAAATTACAAAAAAATAGAAGAGGGGAGTTCTTCTGGCCAGCCCTGGCTACATGCTAACCAAGAAAGGAGTGAAATCAAGGATGGTCCCAGAAGAGGTCGTCATGTGATGTCCTTTACACACTGGGATGCAGCTTTAAAAACAAGAGTTTCTTACTCTGTATTAGGAAAACATTCAGATGCATTTTCTTGAGGCACAAGAGTGTTTTCATTTCATTTTTCTGTAGCTGTTACCTTCAAACTAGCAGAGGGAGGACATAAAGGACAAAGAGCAAAAACCGCACTGCCATCTCACAGCTCCGAACTAGCGCCGTCAGCTCTGCACTAGAGACTCACAAAACACTCATTGTCAAGTGGGCATGCCTTTTTTGGGTATTAAGCTTAGGAAGCTATTATGAAAATATAATACAGAAAACAGGAGAAAAGGAAAAATGCCAAACAGCTTAATTAAGGCTTGTGATCCATCCTCCAACTACCAAGCCCCTAAAAGTTACTTGATTTCAAGATAACTTTTCTATTTTATAAAACAAGTACATTTATTGTAGTTGTGAATATAGCATCTGCCTTTAAACACTGAACAGTGTGGATCCAGTCCAGGTCTCAAGCAACTATTTCCATGGTAAGTTTAACTGGGTGAGCAGTAAAACACAAAACTGTAAGATGTAACAGACACACTGGAAATGTAAACTGAAGGATGTTCGTCTTCTAGTAGAAGAGCTGATAAGCACTGTTTAACAGCAGCCCAAAAACACTGGCAAACTTTGTTTTGTTTCCTGTTTCCAAATCAAGTGACAACTTAGATGCTTGGATAACAGGAAACTTCAGTATCAGAGGCTCTCTTTCCAGACAAGGTTGATCACAGATAACTGTTACAAACCAAGCTGCAAAACTCTGTTGCCTCAGAAACTACCTTTATCTTTAACCTCAGCTTTCAGTCATTCAGATTAAATTTGCAGAGCTTAAGTCAGGAGGAAAAAGATTAGAGATAGGAGATGGACAAGAGTAATTGAGAAGCACGATGCATTTTTTTTTCCATGATTTGTGTTAACAAAACCAACCAACCAACAACAAAATAATCAACTCTGTCAACCAAGCATGCCTCTTCTAGAAGTTTTTCTAGTACTGCATTAAAAAGTGGAAAAATTCTTAGCAGCCCTGACAATCTCTGTTGAGCATCAGTGAGTAAAACAGGACTTTTTAAAACTCAGAAAATCAACCAGCTAAACAGGATTTGCTTTCAGCCCTTCAGGCTACAAAAAAGCAACTTTGAAATACTTAAAACATTGAATTTAGCCTACCAGCACCTGCTACTATTTTTGAAGAGTTTTCACAGACTGCATATGTGAATGTTTATTTCAGTCATATAATGAGTCACACTCACTGAAACTGGCACAGATTATATTCAAAAACAAAAACAATTCCATAAACTACACACTAATAAGGCAGATACAAAGGTTCTCTGGATTACAGTACAAAGCACAATTTAGCAGCAGAATAAAGCTTAAAGCTAGACAAGCGAACTGACATCAGCACCCTTGCTAATCATAGTACAAAAGCGCCTCTATATTTCGTCAAAGTGCAAAATGAGCCCACATAAATCACTCTTTGTTATTTGAAAATATCTGGGATTCTTACAGCTTGATCTATTTTTAACATTTCAGTATTTGTTGTAATGAAAGCTGCATACTGCCTCACTGAAGTACAGAACACTGTGCCATATGTGTAAGGAAGAGTGCATTTTCTTTTACAGAGCATGTTACAGACTACTTCTCATAATCACCAAAAAAGATGCAACTGGTTTAAGTCACAGGAAAACTACAGGTACAGTCACGTTACTGATGGTATCAGCCACACATTATCAAACACTGGTTTTCTGTGCTAAAAGTCAAGTGCATTAAGTTTGAGAAGAAGTCAAAAAAATAGCTAGTATGGTATTTTAAATTATATTGGTAATGCAACAAAATGTTTATGTCTGGAAAGACATTTGAGCAAATAGAGAAAAGGTGGGCCTTTCTTTAAAAGTTTTGTCTCATATATATATAAAATGTTTGCTATTAATACAAACAGGGGGTTTAAAATTGTATTTTATAACTATAATAACACCTAGTTACAAAGCACTCCATGCAGCTTAAATACCTAAATTCAGAAGTAAAATCGTTCCTTTTAAAAGCCTCGTATGGGCAAACGTCATGGGAATCAAGTTCACCAAAAGCCTGTGTAGGCTTTGTAAATCATTACACAACAAGGTTTAACGAGGTTTGCTGCTTTTGTTTCAGACTAAGAAAAGCCTTGTGTGCCTTTCAGCTTGTTTTCTCCTTTGAGCTGCAAAGCGTATCAGCTGGCCTAACACAGGACATCAGCATTCTTGCCAAACATTGTCCTGTTTGTATCATGAGACCATCATATCATGAGACCATCATAACTATAGAAACAAGCTTGTTTGCTTGTTTTTGAGGCAGTTAAAAATGTGACAAGCTGCTCACTCACAGAGCATCTAATGATCAAAGGAATAGTGGAATTCTGTATTTTTCACATGACATTTTGAATAGGGTATAAAGCAAAACAAGAAATTCCTATGATTATTTTTTCCACTCACATATGTGCAAACTGCAGATTTAAGTGTGAGTGAATCCACTAAGAAATTGGCAAAAAGCATCATTTAGCAGTGTTGGGATTTAGCTGATTTTTTTGTTTTTTGATGAAGACTGTAGCTAAACCTGTATGCAGTACAAAGGATTTACAGTATCATCTCCTTAGGAGAGGTGTGACAGTTGAAAAAGTTGTAGCTACGGATCCCTTAATATTTATATTTATAGATTTCCCTTCTCCCATCATATATATTCAAGATGTACCTCATTCAGCTGCTGGCTGTAGTTCAAAGATGTAGGAAATGGGGGATGTATGTGTAAATGGAGAAGGAAAGGAAGGAGGAAAGGGCAGGAAGGAGTAGATAATTTACATTTATATTTTCAAAAGGATGTAACCTTCCATTTGGACCCTCTCAAGCTGTTGCTCAAGAGGCCAAAATAATTACATTAAATGTTTACATAAAAGCTTAAAAATGTTAAATATAAGAACCTTCTCTGGTCTTTTTTTTTTTATTTTTATGTATCTATTTACAAAATTTGCTCTCGTGGTCAAATAACTGCTTACTGAGAAACTGGTCAGTTACCCTTTTTTTACTTCAGTAAGTATTATTATCCATAATCCTCATGTCATTTAAAGCCGATTTTCCCATTCTAGCACATTTATCCCTTTTTTTTCTCTTGGGTAGCAGCCAGTCAGGAAAACTCCAACACTGCTGAGCACTAGCTATGCCAAGGAGGGTATCACTTACATCCTGCTCCAGTAATACCGCTAATAAATCCTTTCCCCCATGTATGACCAGTAGACCCAGGAATGAAATTACAAATCCCAGATCTTCCTTCTCATCTCTTAAGACCTCAGACCTTTGTGCTTAGGTTTTCATCTCTGTACTCTAGACTGCTTTAAAAAGGGCACTGTTTATCTTCCTTTCGCAGAGAAGTCAACTAAGACATGGAAGAAAGAGGCGACTTAGCCAGGGGGTAAGGGAAACATCCAAAAGAACACTTGATGTTTTACAAACACATGACAATGTTTCCTTGCTCCCAAAGAACTTAGAGTAGAAGCCACGCAGACTGCGAACTAGTGAGAAGTTGCAGG